GTTATTCACTGTTTTTATTTTGATTAGAGAAAACTGAGCTAGCACAACATCAGATAAAGCTGATAAGGACCAGCTGCTTCCTTTGAAGTCACATCCTTACACTCTCCAGTAAGGAACTCTTTAAGTCGTTTACCCTATAGAACTGAAATATTCCTATAGGCCGTTCTTACACTGAAGTGAGGAAATGTTAGTTGGTAAAGAGAAAACCCGCTGCTTGGTTATTTGTCCGTGGTTAGACACTATCAGTATCAAGCAATAGATATTTGTCAAACAGATTTTTCATGTATTTGTGTATTTTCATTAAATGTATGGTTCTTTTGCTTTTAATACTTTTATTCTATTTGTATGTACATTTCTTTAAAGTAAAACACGACCTGAATTGCAATGCAGTGTTTTCCTAAGTAAAGACATTTTTCCATAATTAGTGATAATGGTAATTTCACACTGCTTCCATGGGGCTTCAGCTTCAGACGGAGAATTTACTTCATGTTTGTAATAAATGTAGTCAACTGGCAACATATTGATATTCTACTACTTTGGCATTTTCCAATGCACCATGAAACTAAACATTATTATGCCATGAAAATACTTCACAGACACAACAAGATGTTTATTGTAGCATATTTCCCCCATGTGCAATGAAAAGATTCTAATAATGGTCTCCTGTCAACTGGAGAAAGAGCTCCATTTTTTTTTTTTTTGGCTTGAAAAGATCATTGGGATGTAATGAGAAAGGGATAAAACCAGGAATTCAGCACCAATGAAAAAATTTAAAAAATGGTTCCCTGTCACCTGGAAAAAAGGCTCATTTTTTTTTTTTTTTTTGGCTTGAAAAGATCATTGGGATGTAATGAGAAAGGGATAAAACCAGGAATTCAGCACAATAACATGTAGTGACTCTACATTAACAATCCTTGAGTGCATTAAATAGCAATTGCATTTTACTTCAAAGCCCCAGTGATTTTATTGGGGTCTTCGTCTTACGTTTGCCTCCAGCTGGTGTACATTAACCACAGTTAAGTGAGATATTTTACTTCATATAAATCCTTCTATCACATCATCACATATCCCGCCTAATGATGGGCTTTGTCCCTGTGTGTGTGCAGGATTAAGGCAATGTGTGTGCTTTTGCAAGTGTGCTTGTGTGTTAATCCTGAGTGAAAGGCTACGTTTTCTGCAGGGAAGGCAGTTGGGGGACTCCCCGGAGGGCCCCAGTGCGCTGGCTCTGTAAGCCTCTATGAATGAGTCTAAATTCGCAGGCTCCCCACGAGGACGCACGGCTGATTAAGCTGACAGTCAGAGGCCCATTGACCAGTCACAGAGATTAAACGCCGGGCCATCTCGACGGCTAAAACCACCTGCAGAATGGAGGGACCCATGGAAAGCTGGAGGAGGAGGGGAGAAGGAAGTAGAGAAAACATTGGGAGACGTGCAGATACTCACTGTTACTTGTTGCTTCAGTAAAGGACGCCTTTTGTCCATTCCAGCCTTTGTTGTCCATCTGTAGTGATGTGGAGAGAGGGAGACATAAGGGGGAGGTAAGAGAGATGTAGAACCTTGAACAGACAGCTTCTTCACGCATGTCAGACAAGTTCCTTCCTACTGTTTGGGCCACAAAGAGACGAGCGCTCACAGGAGGGGATGCTTAAGTGCCCTAATGTCCATTTAAGCCTGTTACTTACTTGAAATGTTTGTCAATGTTTAGTGGTGATAAAAAGACTCCTATTCAGAGTGTTTCTTCTGCTGAGGTTTGCACAAACACACGTGTGTAAAACAGAAACACTAATCATTTTGTGGTGGGAGACATCTAAGAAGATGACGTGGTTGTAAACAAACTCTCTTCTACACACAAATTTCTCTTCACAGAACACCCACAGTTCCATGATGGGAATGTGGTGCAACACACTTGGCAAGAAATGGTAGAGAAAAGGATGAGAGTGAGAGAAAGAGAGAGAGGGGGAGTGAGAGGGAGAGAGAGCGAGAGACAACGTATCCTTAAAAAAAAACAAGAAAAAAAACAGGATGATGTTTAATTATTCAGGAGAGCCTGGGGTTGTTTAAGGACCTTAAGAGAAGTAGGGCATTCAACTGATTCGTACAGTTATGTTTTCAGGGTTGTCAAGCAAATGCTGACACAATAACTCCATTTGTCTAAATAATCTGCCATGAGTGTAACCGGAAAAGATCCCTCTGCTTTTTTCCATGACAGATACACTCATTTGTCTGAAACATCAGACTTCAAAACATGCTGATTTTTAAACTAAACATGCGGTGATGAGAAGAGAAATTGAATCACTTATGTGCAACTTCCTGACGTTTCACTTTCGTCACAAGCAACTTTGGTTTTTTGACAACCGACTTCAAAACACTGAACAATGACTTTTAATCTCTTCAGTATAAAGATTAATAAAAAAAAAATTAAATGAAAATTGGCTTGACTGGACAACATGAGTTGAATGTCATTCATTCTGGTAACAAAGATGCATCATTCTGGAGATGTATGATTGTATAAGTGAGGAATATGCAGCAGCACCTATGTAACTAATGAGCTGTCATGGGATGGTCGAATCGTTCTGCTTGGTGATTCCTGCTTATGTAATGTCATGTCTATCTAAATTTAATTCCCTGAACTTAAAAACCAATGAGCTGAGTGGATATGATGGTGATCAAGGGTTGCTTCCTAACACGCTGCGTTTCAGAGGAGCAGGGATTATTACATAACAGGTCACCAGCACTGGGATTCCTGATAAAATTGAGAATCCAGTGCTAAGTGTTAGAATTTTATGAATTCAGGGAACTGATGTGGAGAGGAGATAGTGCTCCGGTAAAAAAAAATCTCCGTGCAAAGACTGTATTTTCTGTAATCCTTGGTCATATTGCTGCATAGGTATTCACCACCCAGAAACCAGTCTCAAAGCTTTGCTGTTCGTGTGACCTGAATACCAATTGCGTAATGTTCTAGATGACATTTGAGAGAGAATGTCTATAAGAGTTTTAGAGTTATCTTAGTATTATAGTGTGTCAGTAGAATAAACTTAATATCATAATAAAGAATTATTATTATTATTATTATTTTGTAAAAGGAAAAACAGTTAAAATCACCTCTGTGGGATTCTGAGGAACTGTGGAGGCCTTGTATCCCAGCTGCAGCAACATCGCCTCGGCTGCGTTCCGCTTGGCCACTTTCTTGTTCGGTCCTGTTCCCGTGGCAACCTCATTGTTCACCTTCACCTGCATCGACACAGAGGGAGAAGATATTCAGAGGGAGAAGATATATGGCAAAGTGAGACTGACTTTGCAAAAGCCTTTCCGTCATTTTGCTCTAGTTTTGCAGGACCTGCAGTCGTGAATACTGTTTCGAGTCCACGGTAACATTTGCATCACACAAAAACGTCAAATTTATTTAACCATTCCTAGACCAATAAATCAAAACCTAATGTTTAAAGAAACACTGTTTAAATGGTGGAAAAAGAATACTAACATAGCATAGAAAAAGAAGATTGATAGTCAAAGTTAACCTTTAACTCATTCATTACTTTCCTAGTTCTGTGATCTGGGACAAATAAGGTGAGACATTAAACAGTGTCACCACTTTTTTTAAAAGCTTTTTACAACTGCTTGCTGCGTGCAAGAATAATGTTTGATTTGATTTGTTTAGAATATAAACCAAACTTAAATGCAGAAAAGTGATATGTTCCCAATTTGGATACTAACAACTGACAGAAAACTGTAAAGAAGGTATTTGGTATTAACTCAGATGTTTTATAAATACTTCATGGAGTCATGGATCTTGCATTAATGTACTCTGTACTAAGAACAGCATGTTTTTCCACATTGGTCTTGAAAACCCTTACTGCTTAATTTATTTCTTTAATGAATTATACATGAGTACGAGTGTATATGTGCATGGTTTCTTTGTCCCACCATGACATATTTTCTGAGGACAAAAGGTAACAGTGATTGTTAGTAATTAATTATTGGATAAAGCAGAAAATTCAAAAGACAAAGACATCTGCTCCAACTTTAACTAATAAGGCTTACATATAATCTAATATATATAGTGATAGAACTTATAATGAGTAAAGATAGATTCATATAGTCTTTTTGACATTGATTGAACATAAAAGGCTGCAGGACTGCGCTCCACGGTAGAAGCCCTAATGTATTCCTCTGCTGCTGCCTGTTCACCTCATCTGTCTCAGTGCTTAGAGCGTGGAACATGTCGCACATGTGTATGCATGCACAACTGGAGTGCAGACATGATAAAAATAGGATAACAGCTTAAAGTCCGGGAGGAGAGGTTATATAACACTGCTGACTGCCCTTGGTGAGAGAGAGAGGTGCTTCATCTCTGTTCCTCATTGGCTTGTTTTACCATCTTCTGATATGTAAACACACACAAACTATAAATGCCATCTTTCTGTAACTATTTCCAACTCCATTAGAGTTAGTCTATGTCGCCCTAAACTGTCAGAAAGTTGAGGTGCAGACACTGCTGTTCGTTAATCTGAATCTTCACTGACCTGCATGATAAACTCCCGACGTCGGGGCATTCCTCTCTCAGACAGCAGCAGGTACTCAGGCTCTTTCTCTTTCTTGGCTTGTTGGATTTGGGCTAGGCGGCTGATTGGGTTCATGCCCTGGCCATAGTCTGGTCCCGTCTGGCAGAAAAAAGTGAATTTTTTGGGAAAGGAGTTGAATGTGTACTTCAAACTGTCATTGTAACATCTTCAGTACGACAAAAATAATACAACAGCCCCTAGCTGAAATACAGCTTAAAATATAGTTGAGGACAATACAGGCAGAAACCAACCATTATTTTCTAGACCAAGTTTTTACATAAATTCTGTGATTTCACTGAGATATACTGAGTTTTAAGTTCTTCACTTGGTAAATGTCTTTAATTCTATATTTAAAAAGATGCATGTATGGCAATTCTATTAATGGAGTTCACATTTCATGTTTGACTAGTCTAATTAAATACAAGTTAAAAATGTGTAAATGAAAGAAGTATCTGTTCAAAAGATTGAACCAGTATGAAGCATCAGTATGCTATCTGGAGAAGGATATAAAGTTAATCTGTGTCAATATTTATATCAAATATAAACAATTTAACTTACACATCGCCTTTACATGTTTTCTTAGTGATTATTTGACTCTTTGGTAAATATGTCATTTCATAACATCCAAACACTGCTTTGTCTGATTAAAACAATAGTGCTTTAGGACCGGTCTTCTGTACCTTGAGGATGGTCTTGGTGCGTTTCTTGTAGTGTGGCTTGGGTTTCTCAACAGCCGGAAGGGCAGCTTCTTCAGGTCCTGGAGGATGGACAGAGCCGCACGCTTTTTGGACAGTTTCTTGCTGTTGCCCTCGCCCTCAGCTGAGAACTCTCCCACGGTGACACGAGTCAGGAAGCTTTTCATGTGAGGGGGGCCGCTCTCCTTCAGAACCTGGAAAAATGATGTCCAGTTAGGTTTAATAAAGGATGAGAAATTATGTGATTAATATGAATATGGTAAAATCTAGTCTATAACCACATATATTGGCAGTGGACAAGTAAGGACCTAACAAAAATGTTGCCCTGGCTGCAGTTTGATGGGTATTCTTATGAAATATCACACATTTATAAATCACAAAAGCTTTCATAAATCGCACACAGATTTTATGATGACTCAGATTTGTTCATGTGTGAGCTGAAGACACAGCTTTGCAACAGAAGGACAGATATTTGTTGAATATACACTGTTAACCAGCAGGAGTGATATTCATGAGTACAATGACTACGAAATGGTGCCACATTGGTCTTAGATTAGTCCGTCGATAAATGTAACAGACAGCTGACTAGATATTCTGTAGTGGAGATTTAACACATTTTACACCTGTTGGAACCAAAATGTTCAAAATGATATAAAAAAACTCGGTCTAGTCCATTTGTCTGCTCAGTGAATGTGGGTCTGTGTATGAAACGCTATGTGCTGTGCACATTGCAAGCAGCTCGACCAGGTGGCCCAGAACATCTGCTTTTGATGGCCACAGTGCTACCCACCCATGTGTGTGTGTTCATACTCAACACACACAGATGCGTAAACACACATATAAAGAGTAACATGTTTCTAGATGACAGTCCCTAGAGATGAAGGCTCAGTTTCCTTCCTCTAGCCTCTGGTCACCTGGGAGACCTAAAACAAACACCGGCTGGTGTTAGGTCATACTTCTGCAATCATATCCACTTCCTGTAAAGTCAGAGGACAGTGCGTGAGTTTGTACGTGTCAGTGTGTTTTTTAGCAGGTGGGATCTTTCCAACCTTTTTTTTCTCAAACCCACAGTAGTAAAGGAGGTGGATTTTACACATTTACTGAAACCAACATTTTTTATTTTCCAAACAGATGTGGACACCTTTGAAACTGCTGCTGACTGAGTTTTCTTTTTTGTTACTTCAGCAGAAAACTGCCTCATTGCGTCTCCTGCTCTCTTTGCGGTGCCGACAGCACAAATTACAGCAATCAGACATAATCAAGTAACAGTTAACTTAAACCCAATGACCGGCAAAAACAGATTTAAAGTGATAAGCAGTCTTGAGCATTCCTCAAATGCTTAGCTATGAACACAGTATTAACAAACTCTGGAAAGAATAAAGAACATGAAGGGCACGTCTTTACTCAAACGTGGAACTTAAATGATAAGTTCAAATAGATGGAATCGATCATTTACATTCTTTGCCTGTTAAGACAACTTTGCATGGTAACACAACAAATGTCCACAGTTTCAGTTTCCATAAAATGGATGGCTATACTCTTCACTAATTGACTGCAGCATAAGGTTTATAACTACAGAACAGTAGATTATATTATAGATTATCACATCAGTCCATAAGACAACTTGGCCTTCATGTGACCACTGGTATGACCCACAAAAAGCCTGAAATCACTGAACATTGGGCTCTAATATTGTCAACTATCATGGAAAAACCCTCTGTGTTACAAATTATTAACAGTTTTTTAATAAGGTCCAGTGTTGGTAGAGTATGTGATGACATCTTCAGCTTTGACAAAGAATGTACAGTGTATGTTAGGATGGGTGTTAACAGCAGAGCTAACAGGCCAAACCTTCTCAACCCAGGAGATCTGCTCTGCTCTTGCTCATCAACAGAAAAAGGAAATGCAACATGTCAGCATCGTGTACACTGCAATGTTCAAAGGGGAGGGACATGTCCGATTTCGACTCAGTGTTCATAATGACATAGCACGTCCCTGGATCAGGACTGGATGACGTAAATCTCAAAGTGAATAATTGGGAACTACTAACAAAATGTACATGGTTTTGGTTGTGGAGCAGCCAGTGAATGTTATTGAAGTTACGATCATGTTTGCTTGTGACTAGATGTGGGTGAAGAAAACACCTACACAGGGGACATAGACACAAATACAATCAAGTGCCTTTTACTTATTATGTAAACCAAGACTGAGTAGCAGGTGACTGTACCTTAGAGCTCATCATAAACAGTGTTCTCCTGGTGATTTACAAGATAACTCCATAAACACAGAGTCAAGTCCGCAGTGATACGATTCACTTGTGCTGGCAGAGGTGACGTTTTCAGAGGGGGAAAAAAAGATGAGGAGATCAAATCCTGCACCCTCAGATATCATACAGTCAACAAAGAATATGAGACAAAGTGTGCATCTGAGCACACGTCAAACACTCTTGGCCCTGGATGGCGGCAGACGAGCTGCAGTTAGTCTCCTGGCAGACGACGCGGAATCTACACCACGCAGATGGGATTTCAGCATTTTCATTCACTGACAGACACACACCCATACTGTACATGCAAACAAACACACAGACACACCTGTCTCCCTCCTCATAACAAGAATCAGGTATTGAATAAGAAACATTTTGTTATTCAATGTTTTTTTTTCTCCCAGTCACCTTCTCCTTCTGTCTCTAGAGCTCCTCATTTCCAAACACCACAGGCCGTCTTTTTTTCTTCTGGTAGACATTAATACCCTAAGCAGACCAAGGATATGTGCATGCGAGACCTCAGGTACAGAAGTGGAGGCTATGAGAGCAGTGTAGGACAATGGTGTGGATTGGAAAAAGGAAAGAAAGGCTCTTTTGTGATGCACCGTGGATGGACAAGCCCTAAGGGAAGCTGCTTCTTGTAAGATGGGTGGTTCTTGGCCCGGACCGTCGTTTCTAGTGTCCTCCTTGGAAAAGGAGCCTCCGATCCAACACACAAGCTGTGATTTACGGATTGGTTTGTCTTTGATGCTGACATCTGTTTGATATTGCCTGACGGGTGGATTAAAATGAGCCAACTGCCTCTCAGGGTGGCGGCGACCCTCATCATCGCAGAGCGATGGGAAAGCAGACACTGGTTAACTGTGACTCACCAGTAATTTCATGTCCAGAAAAAGGGCAGGAATAAGATGATGAGCAAGCACTGGTCTGAAATTGGTCTTTGCACAAGTGATAAATGTAATTTCATAAAGAATCCTTACATCAAATTTAAAAGAAGGTGAATTTGATAGGGGAACAGACATGTACCCCACCTCATTTTTTCTTTAATCAAACCAACAGTGATGTTTTAAAATATAAATTGACACCATAGGGCAGGAAAAGAACAAAAACATTCTGTCAAATTCTTACAATCTAACAGACCTGATTGGCAAAGAGAGACCCACAGAGATGTGTTATTCATACTTGGTGTCCAGCCACAGCATAGTGGCAGTGTGAGAGCATATTGCATGCAACACAGTGATTGAGGATCAAAATGAATTTGTTGGAGAGCCACCAGGAGTGTGAGGGAAGAAAAAAAAAAGAAAAGCTGTGCCAAGAAAGGGAAATGATGATTACAGCCTGGCCTTTACACAGTTTAGTCTGACATGGCACAGCAACAAAATGTGGTGTGACTGATATCTGGACAAGAAAAGCAAAAACACATTTTTTCAAGTACAATGGTTTAGCAAAGAGGCAAAGAGAAGACAGAAAAGATGAAAATCCTACAGAGTATGACTGGTCTGACTTCAAATGATGAAAATTCTTAACAAACTGGGTAAAGCAGTACTGTCACCAAAGGCACACGGACGATAACTTGCGGAATAGGCAGACAATATTAGCTGTCGACAGAGACATGAGAGAGAGATGGTGAAAGAAAAGGGAAAGTGGAAGGGAAAGCACATGGGAGAAAAGTTAGTGATTTACTGCTCATCAGGCAGCAGTAATAAGCAGCCAGACTGCAGAATGACAGCAGGCAGAACAGAGACTGAATGGAGGAATGTGGCTGTGGTCCTCTTTTAAAAACCACAGCTCCCCACTTCCAATTGGAAAGGACTGAAAATGAAAGTTGGAGTAAAACAGTCACGGTGACAAAGAAATGGCAGATAATCAATCACATCAGGCCAGATTTAGAAGGATCAAAATTATTTTTAGCCATTCCAGGAAGGATAGCTATGTCATGCTCTGATGAGCAAAGGCATTTTTGATCAAATATAAGCAGCTGTGATGTAAAAGGGAGGACTGGAGCATTTAAGTGTTCATTGTTTTCGAAAGTTATTAACTCGTAATAGGAAAGAAATGTAGAAGATTTAGAGTTTGACTCCCTGAATTCCACATAACGTTCGATTTCCTGTCATCCCGATCCATTTGTCCCCATAGCCTCAACACGCTACTGCTCTGTGTGTGTTTCTTGGGAATATCGGTGGAAGGGAGGACTTCTGAGGGAGAAGGGAGGGTACATACTGAGTAAACTGAGCCTCCCTTGTTTTTGGCACCTTGCAGAGTACAGAAGAAGGAAAGGGAGCAATAAGGGAGAGAATATTGGATGAGTCAGCTGAGATACAGTAAAAGCCAAAGAGAACAGACATACCGGGTCATGTGAGGACAAACTTGCGTTGTCTGTGAAATTGGAAAATTGTGTTGCAGTGTACAGAGAGGTTGAAAAATACAAGCAGAATTGACATTAATGTCCAAAACGCTGGGAATTGAAGCTCACAACTTTGAGAGATAGTAGCAGTGCTGGGTTGATCCCAGCTCAGTTTATAAATGTCACCATCCCTTGCTGTAAAGATTTCCCAAAAGGAGATGCGACAGAGCATAACAGTCGACAACCCTGTGTTTACAAGCTCGATCCTGTAACCAATAGGCCTTAGTGATTTAGTTTAATATCAAGCCAGCTGTTCCAACAAACAAAAGAAGAAAATGCAAAAATCCTGCTACATAGAATATATTTCAGCCTGATCTTGCACACACCTTTTAAACATTTTGAGGAAAAAAAAAAAAATGAAACAATAGGGTGAGTTAATGATAAGATGTTACATATTTGTTGTCTAATTTGCATACACAAAAAACATCTCATATTTATGTTATATGTATGTATATTTTTTAAGGATGCAAGCTCATTCCAGACCGCTGCAGGTGTGTGATGAATAAGTTGAGGCAAATGTGGGAAAGTATAAGCAGAATTTGTGGTCAAGTGAAGTCCATTTGTATCCATCTGGAAGCCCTTTGACATAATACATTAAAATTAAGGCAATTTGACGCTTGATATTTAGCAGCTGGCTCTGTGTTTTCATACAACCTTTACTTAATAATGTAGTCTAGATTATCATCTGTGGGAATGTCCTAAGTGTAAAACAAACTTGGTTAAATAATGTGTAAAATATGTTTTGCCTGATTGACTCTCCCTGATGCAGTTACAGCTCACAGCTCTGCCTCTGTCTCGCCTTCAACAATACCCTGTGGTTACAAACCACATGAGACCAACTCTACAAACGACTACATTAAACAGAACGCAGGATAATTGTAGTTTTTTTCTGTAACAAATTATTTTCTCATGTACATGTAATGTATGTGGCTCATGTACTTACATGTGTCACAGAAAACATAGGTGACCCTTGGGGTGACCCTTCTTGTTCCCATGCTTACAATGCACAAATTGTAAAATTAGAATTAGTAAATAATTTAAAAAAATACTCTTAAAATCTCAAGGGTAATAGTCATATAAGTTGTAAAATATACTTTTGTAGAACAGCAAATTAAAAAAAGTTTTATTCCTGTTATGCTAAACTATCCACAATGAACATTCCTCTTATCAGCTGAGTCACAGAGTCCAAGCTACCGGAAATTATACTGCAGTCTTACATCTGGGAAAAATTACCGTTAAACGATGAGAATTCTTCGAGATTACAACATTTTTTTTAGATAAGTGACCTCAATGATGCAAAACATTGAGCAAAACTGGGGAAAACACACATTTTTGTTGTTTAATGAGAACAACTCAATATATTTGCCTTTAGGAAATGTCCTGTATTTGATATCACTGTATCCTCACCTCAAAATTGACAGACAGGTTTCTTTTTAGGGCTATTTCGTAGACAAGGCTGATCTCCGACTTGTTGGCATCAGTTCCATCCTCGGTCTCCACTTTCTCTTCTGGACTCTGAAAAAAAAAACTTAATAATTAAAAAAAAAGACACATTAAGTCAAGTAATGGATGTCAAAGAAGCGTGATGAAGAAATGTGATGTTAATGACTGCAACTTTAGTTCAAAACAGCACAGTCAGAAGTTTAAAGAGTACATACAATATTTACAATAATGGCACCAACTCTTACAACGACCTTGTCGTTGTGGATCTACTGGGCT